GGGTTGAAATGTCAAGCAACCCTCTTGCGGCCTGGCTGGTTACGCGATCACTCTGGCAGATGATAGAGGAACATTGCCTGCTGGGCGCCTAGAATCGGCTTCTTTCGGGTACATTAGGTAAACAGAGCGCACACACACAGACACGAAAACCAATCTGAACAAGACACATTCACTCACATGCGTCCAGGCGGCAACGGTTGTCCGCAAGTTGCATGCCGCATCCATTCGCCAACAATTTGCCCACATTCGTGCTACCTGGCTTGGATGCCCAAAGGAGATCGGCTTGGCAATTACTTTGAGGCATGACGCAGACGCAAATTGGCCCCCTACCAACCGCAAATGGCACCACGTGTGCTCTCGTCCAATCGTCTATTCACAAGGTAACAGAATGCCAGCCATCCGGATGCAAGGTCATGCTTCAGGACGCATCATCAGTAGAGACTCGGGCTAGACATCGGTCATGATATGAAATTCGAATAGGCTTTTAGAATCGTCTGGGGTCTAAACAAATTACCCTCTTCTCTGTTTAAAACCCCTGACAACCGAGACTTCCTTAGTATCGGGTCGCACTTGACTTGTATTATGTCAGTCGTTAGTACGTTTCCAATGCGATACTTTCTGACTTGCTCTGTATCCTTTTCCCTTTATCCTATATTAATTCAATGAAATCGGAGAAAAAATTGGTTTGTAACTGGTCGTCCTCTTAATTGAGATATTCACAAATGTTTGTGAGAGCGACCCACAACTTTATGATATGAATGCTGAACTATGTATCAGCAGCGGTAACCAGGACGAGGGTGTGAAATAGGCTTAGGCGACAAGTGACATGAGGTCAACAGCAAACATTGAAAATTCACTATCAATGAAAATGCCTCGTAGGCATCGCACCGATGCATCGTTCGAGCTACACCAATTTAGGAGATTCAAGGAATATGTTCAAACTGTCAAAAGTCTGAACAACCTAGGCCTTAAGTACGCTTTTAGCAGTAAGAAGTGCACGCCTCAAACGTATTGGCGGCATAAATTATCTGAGCTTTTAGCATCAAGCCTTATCCACCAAGATATTATTTACTACCATTTTAAGCTCTAGGGTATTCATTGGGCAAAGAAACATTGCATCTTTCTTGGAATATCACTGTATTAGGTAAATTTTAATGAAGCCTTAAAGTGAAAGCAGGCCTTTTATCCAATACAACATGGCTAAATCTACTATTACCTTCAAATGTTATAAATTAATTCACATTATCAACCATTCATAAAATGTTGTCTGCTGAATAGTGTACAGTAGAGAGTGTAGAATATTTTGAACAATAGGAAAAAGTAATGGACTTGGCCGACTTTAATGCCAGAAATGAAAACGATCAGACAGTCGGAATTCTTCTAACTCATCACTGTCATAGTGGGCATGAAGAAGAGATCCATAGGTTGATTTCACCGTCTGTGCCTGTACATTTTCGCCCGTAGTTACGCGTTTATATAAGAGGTAAGAAAGGGCTGGACAGTCTTGTTGACTTGGTGTTTGTTAACCCGACACGCCTGCAAG